GGGGGGGCTCTCGGGGGCGGGGGGGCTGGAGTGATACCCTCTAGAAGCCATTCTGTTCATCCCAGTTGGGTCATTGTCCTTGGCCGGTTTCGCAGCAGGTGAAACGTGGGGCCGTTTAAACCAGGTTGCCCTGGGACTGGCTGGCTGCTGCCGTGTGGTGTCGGCCTGGCCAGGGCCCTGCTTGCTCTTGGGCAATAAAGCGTTTCAGTTTCCACGCAGCCTCTGGCTTCTCTCTCGAGCGGGACGGGGCGTTTGGCGGCTGAGCTGGGCCGGGAGTCGGCTCCTTCCCCTTCTCAAGAGCCCGCTCAGCCTTGCCCAGCCCCTCCTTTCCCTCGGCTTTGCCCTCCGCTTGCCTGGCCAAGGAAGCCCAAGGGGAACAATGGACGGCGTCTGTCTGCCGGTGAGAGGCCTCCGCGTGCCACGGGGCACTGGAGCGACTCGGGGACCTGCCTTTGCTCCAGGGACTGCCCTGTCCTTGCCCTGCCCACCTGCCCCATCCCGGGGGCCCCACGTGTGCGCTGAGAGAACGGACGACGCCACCAGTGCAGCTTCCCTTGCGACCACAGCCGGGGTGACGGGCCCGTGTCTGCCCCTCTGCCCTGCGGCCCCGTACGCCAAGCGCTGCCAGCAGGAGGCGAGCAGGCCGGGGGCCGTCTGAGCCGGCACGGCGTGTGGGCGCTGTGGGGACAGAGCGTGTTGAAATCCCACCACGCCTGGCTGGGTAGCCAGGGTTTATGACCAGCTTTCCTCTCCCCTCCAGCTTCTCTCCTGGCTTTGACTGGTGCTTTTAGCTGCCTCCTGTCCATCGGATCACAGTTGGGCGTGGTCGTCAGCCATTCCCTGGGGTCCCCCTGGCTGGGGATGGGGGGCGGCGAGCGCTGGCTGGTGGCAGTTCTGGGAAGCTTGAACGATACTTGGAAGGCTCAAGTTCCTCATCTTGGTTCTTCCTTGTCCTGAGCAGTAATTTCTGTCCCTGTAAAACAAGCCCTGTGAGTTTTATAAATACGGCCCGTGCAGCCAGGTCCTTGGATGTTTAATTTGGGACTGGAGGGGAGGGCCTATCAGCCTTGCCCCTAGACATTTTTTAGAAATTAATGGAGATTATCTGTCTCCTAGAACTGGAAGGGACCTTGCAAGGTCATTGAGTCCAGGCCCCTGCCCTCACAGCAGGACCCAGCATCATCCCTGACAAATTTTTGCCCCAAATCTCTAAATGGCCTCCGCAAGGATTGAACTCACAACCCTGGGTTTAGCAGGCCAATGCTCAAACCACTGAGTTATCCTTCCCCTTTTGGGACCATCTATTCCCTTTCCACCAGGCCTGGCAATCTATTACCTCAGACTGTTGGGTTCTAGAAACAGTGGGAAGGGGGTATGCCATCCTCTTCTCCCCCTCCCTCCCATTCCCCTATCCCAACCCTCTTCAGGGCTCCCTCTCACGAGCTTCTCCTGTGGGAGGAGGCGCTTCAGCTCCTCACCGGGGGGGCTGCAGGGGCGGGTCCCCTTGGAGTGTTGGGCAGGGGCTTCTATTCCCGGTATTTCCTGGTCCCCAGGGCCAAGGGTGGGTTTCCTCCATTCCTGGACCTCCGAGATCGCAACACTTTCATTGTCAAGACAAAATTCAAGATGGTGACTCTGGCTTCCATCATTCCTTTCCTAGCCCCCGCACACTGGTACGCTGCCCTCAATCTAAAAGATGCGAATTTTCATATTTCTATTGTGCCGCACCCACCATTGGTTCCTCCGCAGGGACCACTATCAATTTATGGCCCCCTGGTCTTCACGAAGTGCTTGGCTGTCGCCGCCATGCTCAGAAAACGAGGCATCCAGGTGTTCTCATACCCGGATGGCTGGCTCCTACGGGGGGCGCTCCGCCAATTAGTTATGAGCCCACATCACCCTGGTTCAAGAACTTCTGTGGGAGCAGGGTCTGCTCCTGCCTGTGCCCAAATCGACCCCGGTGCCTACCCCAGTAATAGAGTCTGTGGGCGTCAATCTAGACACCAACAGCCAAGACCGCCCTCCCTAGATCTGCTAATCAGGTCGGCTGTCTGGGACATGCAGACGTTGCCGATAACCATGGCTAGGGCCTGCATGTGCTTTCTGGGCCTAATGGCCACATGCAGCCACGTAGTACAGCACGCCAAGCTCCGCATACGCCCACTGCATACGAGGATGTGGCTGGCGCGGACTCACAACCCATCCTGTCACGCGTGGGACACAGAGGCGGCAGTCCCCTGACGTCCTTCGCTCCCTGGACTGGTGGTCCCGGGAGGAGGAGATCTGGGCCCAAGCCCCAGTCTCCAGGCCGTCACCGATGTGTCAGACACCAGTTGGGGGCCCCATTTTGGAGACATGCGGACGCAAGGTATGTGGTCGAGGGACGCTCTCTCCCTGCACATCAATGGCAGGGAGCTCCGAGTGGTTCGCCTCGCCCGTGTGGCCTTCCGCCCCCGGCTCAGGCAAATCAGTCCTCCTCCTGTCAGACAACATGCTGCAGTTTTGTATGACACTCTGGCCGACCAGCCAAGCAGGGTCTCCTCCAGCAGGGGCCTCAAGAGGGCTGTAGGCCTGGACATCTTCCACGGGTGGGGGTTCTCTGTCCGGCCGGTTCGCCACGCTCCAGGAGAGGACGTGGTCGGGGTCCTGTTCCTGCATGGCTCTGGAAAGAGGCTCTCTGGAGATGCGTTGCTAAGTCCCTGGCCCGAGGGGCTCTGGCCGACCAGCCAAGCAGGGTCTCCTCCAGCAGGGGCCTCAAGAGGGCTGTAGGCCTGGACATCTTCCACGGGTGGGGGTTCTCTGTCCGGCCGGTTCGCCACGCTCCAGGAGAGGACGTGGTCGGGGTCCTGTTCCTGCATGGCTCTGGAAAGAGGCTCTCTGGAGATGCGTTGCTAAGTCCCTGGCCCGAGGGGCTGTTGTACATGTTGCCACCGTTCTTGCTGAGCCACCTGCAGGCGCGGGAATTCAGGATGTCCCTGATCCTCATTGCTCCCGCTAGTCCCCGACCCGATCACGCAGGAATTTGGTGGACGTCACCACCTGGACCTGTAGTCCCTGCACCGTGTGGCAAGGAAGCAGCAGAGCTTCAGTGTTCAGGCCATGTGCAGGAGGTGTTGCTGGGGAGCAGGAAACCTTCCACTAAGGCTACTTATCTGGCTAAGTGTTTGCAGTTTCATATCTGCTCTACCCAAAGGGGAATGCCCCCTATGGACGCCCCGGTCCCCCTGGTCCTGGACTACCTTCAGGGTCTTAGGCTCCGGGGTTCTCCTTCTCCTTGATTAGGGTTCACCTAGCGGCTCTCTTCTTCTTTTCACCTGGGTGCCGGGTGACCCTCTTTGCGGACCCAATGGCAAACAGGTTTTCGAAGGGCCTGGACAGGCTTTATCCACGTGTTCAGCAGCCCGTCCCCCAGTGGGATCTTAACTCGGTCCTGTCCAGACTCATGGGACCTCCATTTGAACCCTTGGCGATGTGCTCATTGCTACGCCAGCCCTACAAGGTATCCCTGCCGGTGGCCAGGCACCTGTCCGAGCTGAGGACTCTGGCTTTGGATCCTCCATATACAGTTTTCTTCAAGGACAAAGTCAGGTTGCTCTCCCCACCCTGCCTTCCTGCCTAAGTTAGTGGTGAACTTCCCTGTGCCGCGGGACATTTCCCTGCCAGTCTCGGACCCCGAGCCCCACGCGGCGGGTAGGAACAGGTATTGCACAGCTGGGTAGCAGGAGGGCTCTAGCCTTTTATTTGGAGAACAAAGCCCCTCCAAGTCGCTGCAGCTCCCTGTTGCCGTTGCGGAGCGACTGAAGTGTCAGCTGCAGTCTGCACAGAGGATCTCCTCCTGCGTCACGGTCTGCATTAGGGAGTGCTATGGGCTGGCGGGGTCCCAGCCCCTCCCCTCATGGCCCCCTCTATGAGAGTGCAGGCCTCCGCCGCAGCTTTTTATGGCCCTGATCCCGCCCCTGGACATCTGCAGGGCGACCGCCTGGCCCTCTGTCCGCACCTTTGCTGACCATTCGCGCTCTCCCATCGGGCCAGGGAGGAGCCTGCCTTGGGTAGGGCCGTCCTCCACTCAGTAGAAGGTTCGAACTCTGACCCTGCCTCCTGGGGCTTCTGCTTTGGCATAACCTACACGGAACGGACATGAGCAAGCGCTCCAAGAAGAACGAACGGTCACTTACCTCGTAACTGTTCTTCTTCAAGATGTGCTGCTCACGTCCATTCCAGATCCCACCTGCCTCACCTTCCTAGGTGTAGTCCGGTAAGAAGGAACTGAGGGGGTGGAGAGCCAACAGGTATATATGGGCCAATTTAACATCCCCTTTGGAAACCATGCCTTTTTAATCTCACTGCTTCTTGCACCTGGTTGTTAAGCCACAGTGGCACTTTGTGTTGTTTAATATGGAGTAAACATTGAAGTTGGGCCTCTATTTTGGTGTCTTTGAAAAGTTTCCATGCAGCTTGCAGGGATTTTACCTGAGCACTTTCAATTTCTGTGCAACTAACCAGCCTTCTCACTTGTGTCGTTCCCCTTTCTGAAATTAAATGCCACAGTGTTGGGCTGCCGAGGTGTTTTTCCCTGCCGCAGCAATGTGACATGTTATGATGTGATGGTTGCTATTTCCAAGTGATCCAGATATCTAGATATACACACCTCTTGGACCAGACCCTGCTCTCCACTTAGTGCTAAATCCAGAATTGCCTTTCCCCTGGTGGTT